CATAACCGGGCATGGATATTTTTCTTTGTGCAAGGACACGTTGAACTTCCGGTTACGAATTTCCGAATTAAAGGAATCAGCAGTAGTTTGCCAAAACACATATACTGTATAACTATATAACTGGGCTCGGCCGAGATGAGCCAGGCTTGCACTGAATCGATCACTTGCAATCGCTGCACAATGCCTGCAGTTTACTTTTCGGTCGGGCGTAGATGCCGCATGAACCACTTACGGTGATGCGTCAACGCGACCGCCATGATTGTACAGGGACTCAGGCCTTCAGAATCAGAGTCCGTTTTATTGGCCAGGTGTGATGAACACACGAGGAATTTGACTCTGGTACACCGGCTCTCAATATACAAACGGTAAAGCAGCATAAGGATGTGTAATATAACAAAATAAGAAGTATAATAGCAACAAACAGTGCAAACAATGTAGAATAAGCAGTATAAATAGACAAACAATGCAGACAACAAAGGAATATTCGTTGAAATGAGATAAATAGGGATAAAAACAGAGTACTTAAAACTAGAGACCTGTACAAGTCTGTATAATCTGTACAATGTATATTTACAGGTATTGCACTGAGGTTGAGTTGTACAAGTTATAGGTCACATTAAAGGTGGCTAAAGTTCTGGAATTATTTATCTTGGTCTCGTTTTTTTACATCACAGAAACCTGGCATTTTAACAGGGGTGTGTAGACTTTTTATATCCACTGTATGTGATGGTATGCTGCTGACTCAGCATCCACACAATGAAAACAAACCCCAAAAGGAAAAGCAATGGCAAATGTGGTTTGTAGTAATGTGGTTTAATACTGTAGCACTGGCTGCGGGGTTAGTACTTTGTGTGTGTTTAAACTCAAATGACAAAATACTTGATTTAAGAATGGAGTTATCACTGATAAAAAAGTCTTTCCTACAGTAAGTTTAAAGTCTAAGTGTAAATCCTAAGACCACCCCAGTTTCCATATCTTATTCTTATATAAAGGTTTTTTTTGTTTTTTAATTATTTTATAAACTGCTGGCAATATTCTTTAAAAACTTTGAAATTCTAAACTAACATGGGTTTGAGCAGCGCTTGGACATGGCACGGGTTTGTAAAGACAGAACCATATCGGGGTCTGTGAGGGCTGAAGGTTGATTTGGTTTCATTCCAAGACAGCCAGATGTTAAATAACCACTTAACATGAACTGCACTTAGAAAATGTATTTATATATATTCATCTATACACATAATGTATGATAGTATGTATATGTTTATATAGAAATCTATGCATACTGCAGTCCTTTCACAGAGGAGAACAGAACCTCATCAATATTAACACAATGACAGAAGCCAGACATTGTGAATTCATGGACAGGGAACAAAAAGATGGCATCACAAAGACATCTGAACTCCAGCAACACATCACCTCCACTCCACTCCAGCTTATTCTTTAAATAACAATCACTTCAGTGATATTACAATCATATTTTATGCAGAATAGGCCTACTTCTTCACTTTAACTATACTCAGCTATAGTCTGTACAGTTTTATGAAACAAAGCTTATTCAAGCAAGTGGGAATTACCACTGACTGAGAGACAGTTTCTGTCGTCCAACTGTCCGACAGCAACAAGTGTCTGACGAAGAAACGCAACATGACTTGGGTCAAGTAGGACAGCCGACGCTGGAATCCAAGATAGAAGTTATTTTTCTTTAATTGAAACAAGTCCAGATGACACTGGTTCAGTGTTTCTCTATTGCCACTGATCGCTAAGCAATCATTCGATTTGTCACAATGCCCAAATAACTTCAAAAAACTGACCCGCAGCTGGTTAAAAACACAGCATTGCACATATACAGCCTGGACCAGATTCACTCAAATTAAACAACATTGTCTGATCTGTCTGGGGACCACACTGGGAGGCTGGGACTTCAAGCAGCTTTGCACCCACATTCCTTTTACTGTGGTCTGCTTTTAAAGAGGATTGTACCTCATCAGTCATTCAGTGTCTGGGGGTTTTTGTGTTTACAGCTTCCCCCTTTATCACAAGCACAGCACCTATTCAGATTATCATGTGCCACTGAAAAGACTACACACGTCTCTATTCCTCACTATAAAGCTCAAATCAAAAAGCAGACACATATTGCACTATGAATGCAAAAATACCAGTCTACACTATACAGGAAAGTGCTTCTAATGTTTGTACAGCTGCAAAAATACAGTGTGCTACACACAAACACAAGAAACATACATCAATCAAGTGTGTCTGTATGAATGCATTACCATCACACAGGCAGTTATGCCCTACAGTACAGTACAAGAACATATTATGGTCTTCTTCCCCCTTTATATGTCAGGCTTGAGCTTTAGTTTAATTCACAGACAGAACCAAAAACACAAAGCCTCATGGGAGGAGTGCGAATGTGCAGGTGTAGTTGGGCAGGAGGTGAGGTGGAGCTAGTGGTCCGTGTTGCCTCCAGGTCTGGTTGCAGGCTGTTATAGTTTGTGTTGAGGGATTCGGAGGGGTCAAGTACCCGAGGAAACTTCAGGAATGGACCTTGAAGGCCAGCAGCTGCTCAGAGTGCATATTGTTGAGCGAGCGCAGGTCAGGCAGCTTGAGCAGCAGCTTGGTGAAGATGGCCGACTCGTTGGGGTGGTTCTTGGTGATGAGGCTTCGCAGGACGCAGATCAGCGTCTCCTGAAGCGCCTCCACTGAGTTCACATTCTCTATGCTTGAACGATCTGGGGGAGTGGTCAGCCAAGGTCAGTGTTAGGTGTCTTCCTATCAACCTGACAATGGGTTTCACTTCTGTTACTTTCTCTTTAATTTTGATTCAGATTCGTGACTAAAAGGAATTCTGCCACAGTAATCTAAGTGTGATTGGTTCCACAACTGAATGAGCAGCATCCTCACAGTTTAATATACAGCCCAAGTGCACGTGTAATGGCCTTCAAAACTGTGTACTGAAAAATATGCTCTAAGCCATCAACCAATCAGAAAAGCCCACCTGCAGAGACTAGAACCACAGCAGTGAAGAGGCTCATCTCCTCCTCACTGAGGCACAGGCTGAGAAGCTTCTCACTGAAGTCAAACATGGAGTTGAGGAGGTCGCCGGCCCCCATGGCCCTCAGTGTGTCCACGCTGTACTTCTTCCCACCCAGAAAGGTTATGGTACGGTCCTTCACATCAAAGAGAGAAGCGAAGCGAACTACCAACACCTGCGGAACACATACACCGCTCCATCAGTCTGGGCTTTCTAATAAGAACTGAAAAATATCTGTGGCACATGGTTTAGAAAAATAAAGTATACCTCAAATGTGCCAGCCTTCAGCAGGCTGACCTGGTCATGCTGGGACAGGTCTCTGAAGCCTGGGATCTTCTTGGCGAACTCCACCACCTCCCTGACAGCGGGGGTGAAGCTGTGGGAGAACTCCTCCCACACCTCCTGGCCAGACTTCTCAGCGTCAATGTGAGGAGACTTGTTCATTGGACAAACCTGAGGACAGGACAGAGGAATAAAATACTGTCTCTGTCTGGAGGACACATGAAACAAATGGATCATATCCTGAAACTGACCCAGAGTAGCTGTCGGTTGACGTTAGGCTTTTACTAAGATGATTCTGTATATTGGACAGTGGATACATCTCATGTCTCTTATAAGACCGATCCTCCTTTGACCCGGAAGTTGTTCCAATCAACCAAGGACCGAGAATGTTCCAAGTCTCTTACATCAGCTTTGAGGAGCGGGGACTGAGGATACACAAGAGCATCCTTCATGGAAGGTTTTTGTAAATTGCTATGCCCCTTTATCAGAAATCACTTGGTGAATGGACACTTCAGATGAAGGAGCTGAGGAAAGGATGTCTCATGCCATTAACATTTCCTCAAGTCCTCTCTTCTCATATTTTTCTAGCACCTTATGTTGGCTGGACTACCAAATGAGGGAAATGGCAGGGCTTATAAGAGACTTGGGATGTACCCGATTGTCTCTTAATGTCCTGTCAAAGTTTCTTTTGCACTACAATGAGATGCTTGTAGTGATGAATGCACATAGCAGTTGTCAGCCACACATGGAATCCCCCCTCTGCTCTAAAAAGAGCCTTTTGTCCTATTTTAGCTCTCTCTCATTGCTCACACAGGGAAAACCCCAAGTCCTGGTATCTTAGTCCAGCACACACAAGATGCAAAGAAAACATGTGAGAAGGTGGGAACTGAGGAAACACATTTTATCTGAAGCGTTCAATCAAGCATTCCAATAAAGAGGCATGTCAATCTATTAAATACTTCCACATAGGATGGTCTCGTGTATCCTTACTCATGTCTCCTCCAGGCAGCCTCCTTGCTCTTCTGAGCAGGAATAAGAGCTTCAGGACATCTTTCAAGATGGCAGACTGGAACTTCTTCTGGGCTGAGCAAGAATCGAGGAGCAAGGATCAATCAAGTAAGGGAACTGGGATTTACCCACTGTCATTTTCAGCCACATACATCAGATGTTGTTTTCAGGTCGTTTTACTGCCCCCAAGTGGCCAAAAAAAAGTGTCATATATGACGTAAGAGATCGAAGTTACAGCACAGTAGTGGCATTGTTACAGGTCTCAACAAAAATACAGACCAATTTCCAAATCACAAAAACACACCCAACCTGCTTCATTATTAGGAAATAACAGAACTCTGCACTGTTCTATTTTTGGGGCCATTTATTTCTGCACTTAAATATTAGTTCAGTTTCTGTCACCTATTACTTAGATTTTGGCTGAAAAACAACAAAGGTCAAGGTCACAAAAAATAATGAAAAATCACAAAATTCCCATCTTTAACATGGGACATTAATTCATGTCATCTGGATCTGATGGCCAATTAAATTTGATATTGAAAACCCAATTTAATGCATATTTTCTGCCCAAACTGGCCCATAATGGAGATAGAACCCTGAAACGTTCAGGTACGATGCACAGTGTAACTGCCTGTCATACCCTAAAAGATTATCCCGATCCGGTCCGAATCAAGGATTTTAGAACACGTTTTGTGTTGTTCTGGATCTCATTTTTCACATAGGGACCCATCTGTGTGAGTGAATGCTGTGCCTTGGTTGGAGGTACATGTGTTCTCTGAGTCTACTTATTTTTTTTTTCTCATTGACTTTTGAATGGTATTACAATACACTTTAATTCCTTCATTAAGGCATGCTGTAGTGACTACCCTCATCTGTTTTTATTATCTCACCAGATGCATCCTGTTGCCTCCTCTCCACAGGGGCCAACTGCAGGCTCTGCTGGGGCCCTCTGTGGCCTGAGTTCTGAAAGCTCCGTGTGTGTAGGCTGGACATTGGCTGGCAGCACTCCTGGGCAGTCTGAAGGGGCAGTGGTTGAGGGTGTTGTCCTCTGCACCCTGAAGGCCCAGGCTGGAAGAGGGGTCCTGTGCTACCACAGTGACCAGGTTGTTGTGGCGGTTCCAGATGTCCTGCCGCTCCTCTGTCCAGTGCTTAGTGGCATTGCAGGCAGAGCCACCTGTCAGAAGGCGTGTGGAGGTCGGGGCCTCTGCTGTCAGGCTGCTCTGCTCCTGGTTGTACATGAAGGTCTCCTGGTGGGCCCTGGTCACCGAGCCGATCACCTCCTCCTCCCCACTGTCTGATGTGCTCGGTGAGGTCAAGCTGGGGCTGGTGTCCATTGCCACAGTGGGCTCGCGGTCTGAGCTGGAGTCTGACTGGCTGGAGCATGGTGAGGATGGAGAGCAGGAGGGGACAGGGCCAGCATCTTCACCCAGAGGTTCTGTGGAGCTGCCAGGCGGCAGTTTGGCAATAGGGAGATTCTGGCTGCTGTAGAGCTGGCTGTTGTTCATCATGTTGTTCACAGCACTCTGCATCTCCAGCAGCATGCGCTGTTTCTCCCGCTTAGGGATTCGGCCAAAACGCACAGCTGAACAGTGACGAGAGAATTATTTCAGAAGGATTCACTTGTATTATTTTACGTGTTGCATTATAAGTTCAACAGTACTGAGTAGTGAGATCACTCTTTCTCTTCAGTAATAAAATGAGAACTATCTAATTCACCTACCCTCTCACACTGTACAAGATTAATAATCCAAAAGTGTATTGGTAATTTAAGTTATTTTGTTATGATACTGCTAAATAATAAACAATTTGTAAAAGTTTAATATAGCAGCTGTATTCTTCATGACAACATATCAGGCTGAGGGCCAACTATGTTTACTGACTGCAATGTAGAGTAACATCCAGGCTTCGACATTTCTATATAAACAGTTTCTATATATATTCCTGAATGAAACTGGCCTATGTTGATTTTACAGGTTAATGTTAATCATCACTGTTGATTCACACAGCACCCAAGCAGGACACCTGGGTGATTCTAGCTCTGCAGAGGGTGAATCAGTGAGTGGTGTTCTGCTGAGTCAGACAGCGATGGTACTCACAGTCTCTGGACATCCCCACCATCAGGCATTTCTTGAAGCGGCACTGCTGGCAGCGGTTCCTGTTGATCCGCATGATGGGGCAGCTCTCATTCTTAAGGCACTTCTTATACTGGATGTTCTGCTGGATGCTCCTCCTGAAGAAGCCCTGCGTGTTAACACAGACAAACAGCACAGTGTGATGACATACTACACTACTGTTCAAAGCTATGGGGTTACCCCTATTTTTCCAGCTGTTATTAGTGTAATTCCACAGCTGAACACACTTGTAACGTTCTTCCTACAACTGAAATCAAACACTGTTTGAACAGACACTGTTGCGGAAATTCCCACTGATGATCTGGTAGGTCTGGACACTGTGCCACCATTCCATCAATTGAGGCCTACAGTCTTATTCTTTTCTTCTACACAGCCTGGAGGTGTTTGTGGCTCATTATCCTGAAGTAGGATGTGTTACGTTTGTATTGCTCCCATATTATGTTCAAGACAGTACAAGGGGAGGACGAGGGGAGAATAAAGGAACAAAAAAATGGTGTCAACGGAATAAACATGCTAACTATGCCAAAATGTCTCTTCATTTTCGTTGACCAAAACGAGACGAAACGAAATGTTATAACATTATTTCGTCTCGTTCAGTTGCGTTATTATTATTATTTTGCAGTATTTCTGTTTCCTGTGTCTCGCTTCAGGGGCCGCATCAGGTCGCACTGCGCAGACGCAGGTGACGTCACTTCCTTAACCACCACTCGCGGCATTATTTAGAAGACGACAACAAACAAAGTTAAGTCTGACACAGAGAAAGGGACCGATGGCCAGCCAGCTGGGGTTCGTCTATGGGAGAAAAAGAAGAAATGACAGTTGGAAAAACTTTAATTACGTAGAAGTGGAAAAGAAAACAATGTGTTGTGGGAAAAAGATGGGGAGAAATGTGGCCACAAAATGTGTATTGGATGTAGTCTTGAGTCTATAAGGTAACAATAATATAATAAGATAACCTTGTTTGAAATGGGTTTGGCTAAAAGAAAATTTTGGTTTCATCTATACTACTAGGTACTTATACTATATTGACTGGGTTAAATAGAATTGCATTACTAAAAAGAGACTAAAATACAATTTTCATTGACTAAAACTAGACTAAAATAGTCATGGATAATTCTGACTAAAATAAGACTAAAATGTCATCAGTTTTCGTTGACTAAAACTAGACTAAAAAGAGTATGAACGTGACTAAAACTAATAAAAACTAAAATGACAGCTTCACACAAAGATAAGACTAAAACTAAAATTAAAACAGGCTGCCAAAAACAACTGTATTTGTCACTGCACACTGCTCCCTACAGTTAACCAGGTCAATGTGAAGTATGAGGGGCAGCTGATATGAACTAGTTTCACTGAGCCTTAAGTTAGACCTGGGCAGATGGTTACCGCTGTGGTGGCCCACTTCAGCTCCAGCTTAGAGTCACACCACTGAGTTCCAGTGAAAATGTTTCTGGATCAGGGTCTGTGGTGTGCTCACCGTGTGCATGTATGCGTGGGTGAGTGTGAGAGAGAGCAAGCCAGCATGTGGGTGGTAGTAGTGGTGGTGTTTCAGAGAGCCGCTCTCACCTTGCAGCCCTCACAGGCATGGACGCCGTAGTGGAAACCAGAGGCCACGTCACCACAGACCTTACAAAGCAGCACCAGGCCACTGATTTCTGAATGACACAAAAACACATGAACAAAAAGCTCATGTGAATGTATTATATAATTTAAAATGAAACTACATTATTAAAACTTACAGGTATGGCATGGCACATACTATGTAACACTGTCACATGGAGTTCTTCTGTTCTATCTTCTATTGTTTTGGGGCATTTGTTTGCCTTGTGATAATGTTTCATAACACCCAGTGGCTTAATTTTTCTTTCCCAGACATTATAAAAACAGCGTTGAATGAGTCATGACAGTGTTAACAGAGCTGAGATCTGTTTATAGGGTTCAGGAATAACTTTCATTGTACATAAGCTGAATCCAGCTACCTGGGAGTTCATATGTTAACAAAGTATTGGTATATTTGATAAATGATCAACAACATAAATGACATGGGATTGTTTGTTAAATTTTAGTTACGGTACTAAAAATCATAGGATCTGTTGCTCCTCCATTACTCCAGTATAATTCACATTGTAATTGCTGTATGACCATTTCTGCCTCACACAGACTCAGCACCTACTGGAAAATCTACTTCCTAAAAGTATTCTTACTGGCTACACCAAAAGTAGCACTCACGAGAAAGTGTTCATTTCCCAGTAATACACTGGTAAGAGCAATACTTTTAGCTTCTGAAAACACGTAAGAGTGGCCGGCCATCCTACTTGTGATGCCGCCTCTTGCAGAAGAGGAGGAGCATCCGGTCTTCTGAGCCCCTAAGAGGTTTTGGCCACTGGCAGGGAGTGTGGGGTCAGCTGGCCGACCCATCTGGCGGCAGCTGGGTGAGGTGCGATGGGGTGGGGAGGATGACTGGTAGCTGCCATTGGAGGAGTCGCTGTGGCAGGAGTCCAGACTAGAGGCGGAGCTAGATGAGCTGATGTAGGCTATTACGCCTCCTGGTGTACAATGGCAGAAGAAAAATTAGCCATGGTGACAGAGACTGCAGCAACAAGAGCAACAACACTCTCTGGAGCTTTGTGCTGGAAAACGAGTGAGGATGATGATAATCCAGATTTTCTTGTCAACAACTGATCCTACTGAGTGTCACATGTATCTGAAGCATAATATATCTTATTCCTCTTTCCTGTACAGTTCCACTGTCCTCCAAAAACTACTCTAAAGTACAAAAAAAGAGGATGAGATTTCCAAAAAAAATATTAAAAACACATGAATGAGACACACTCTTGCACTGACTGACACACTCCTCTATTACCGTTAACTGTAGTTTGTTATTGACTCAATCCCACATACAGCATCCTGCTGCCCTACATACTCAGCGGAGCACCAAATGTGGATTAATCTGCACCATGATCTGCACTTGAGAGTAGTCTGCAGCATATGGTCTGTGTCCCTGTTTAAGTAATGTCTGCTAAAACCTATCCTGACCAGAAAATTTAAGAGAGCGCTGCACTTTAAAAAAAAACAAACAACAAAACTATAGATTTAAAAGCTATTATAAAAGACTTACAACTTCAGTAGGATGCAAATCAGGTGGAGCTGAGTGCCACAGGCAGGTTATGGAAGTCAAAGTATAAAGAGACAGGCTAATTCATTGTTTTTTTTTGTTTGTTTGTTTGTTTTTTACATGGAATTTCATTGACAAGAAAAATATGAAAACACTCGTCTTATCTTTTAATTTCATTTTCTTTATTTTCTACTATAAGAAACTACTAAATCAAATGAATCTTTTTTTATCTCAATTTTTGTCTATCAAACACTGTGCTCAGCGCTGTGACGTATTACTGTAGGTGGCACTCTTTTCTTTGTTCAGTCATGGAGGCTATGCCTGCTCATGCAAAATCCCTGCTTTTTGGTGAGGAACCAATTAACTTAACATAAAGAGGGCAGGTCACAATACAACAATAGCTTCCTCAGCAAGTAGGAACCAAGCAGACGGGCTGCTTCTACAACTGACCTGTTTTTTCCCCTTCAATATAGGCTGACCTGATTTCTTTGCTTGCCATTCTCAATGATTAGGTAACAGCATTGCATAATGTCAGCTTCACAAGGGTGTGTAGTATGTAGTCTGGCCTGTCCCTGTAGCCAGTCACATGTACAGCATCCATTACTAGATCTACTGCCAAATTATATTCTAAATTGTCATTTTTATTTAATCTGACAGCACAAGCACTGGTATAAAAAATATTGTTCATATTACCATGGTTTTTCACAAATATTGGTCATTAATATACAGTAATACTGAAATAATATTAACTGAACATCTTTAACAGTATGATCCATTGTTTTAACAGCAAATGTTGCATTTATCAAAACAGTTGACTTCAGTCATCAGTTCTGACCCAATTAAAAACCCACTTCAACCAGCTCAGTGAATTAATATCTCCTCAGAAAATATGCATGCCTGCACCTGTAGAATATTCCAGGAACAGTGTGTCATTACAGGCATAAAAAGGGCGTGTATGATTATGCCTATGGATTGTTTGAAGAGCACTCCAATGTCAAACCTGACAAATCAAAAAACCCTTTTCACAATAAGCTTTTAGCAAAATATTATGAATCTAAAGTGTAGTGAATTTAGCAAACCCTGCAAATTATAAAGGTTTTATGATAAACTGGTGACCTGAAGTGGCCAAACTTGTCATTTTGGTTTGACTTATTATACCCAATTTGTTAAATTGGAAAACTGAACACAGAAAAAGTGCTGCATTCATCTAATGGGAAATGTCCCCTTTTTAAACACTTAAAAGGCAAAAGGAAACCTGCTGATCTAGTTACTTAAAAAAAAAACAAAGCCAGTCATGTTCTGTCATTTGATTAGTAGGGAAATATAACACTCTACACAAACATTTCTAATGTAATTCTGGACTCCCTGAATAAAAAGCAACAATTCACATTAGGTTTCAACCTATGAAAACTGAACTGGATGTCAGTTCTATAAATATCATTTGCCCAAGGCCCCAAAACTATTAAATATACAAGAGTATTATGTATCCCATGGGCCCTGAACGCATCATAACATGCCCCCACGTGGAGCAAGCATGTTCTTTCCCAGGAAACTGGGTCACCGCGAGCTGCCGCGAAATGCGTCACGTGTATCCGCGGCGAGACCCCACGCCTGCTTGCTGAGAAAAATTATGCAATGGCCGCGTCACAGCGCCGTTCGACCAATGAGCTGCGACGTACGGGGAGCGTAAACACAGGTGCACATGGCTAGGCAGAGTGGTCCATGTGATGAGAGAGGACCGCAGTGCTGCCGAGAGCAACTTATTGGGTAACGACAGCCTCCTAGCACTCCTAACCCAGTTTGACAGGCACACATCAGTACACCCTACAGCCTTTAACAGTTCATATGTTTCATCACAATACAAAGACTGTTCAAACAGAAATACCAGAACGTGTCCTCGTTATGCCAGTATTGCTACTTGACTAAAGCTAGTTTTCACTGAACCTTCTTAAAACACTGCAACAAGGTACAGCTATTTTGGTATTAAAACTGGGTTTAAAGCACACTTACCAGCTTTGGTCGACTCCATATCCTATGAGCTGGGGGGTCTTCCTCCTCTGCTACCTCAGTAGTGAAGCCGTTTTTCTGTTTTAGTGCTCAGCAACTGAAAAGTCGCTGATTGATCCCGGTTAATAAACTGACCGTAAAGCTACAACATTTAAATGAACGTCGCTTAAACCTGATAGAAGCTGCGCTGGCTTGTCAGCGATAGACTCGAGAACATACTAAACCATCGAGTTTTCACACCCGTTTAAACGACACCAAAAGGCTAGTTTATCGTGCGCGCCTCTTTCTACCACGAGAGAAAACCACAGCTTATCTGTTTCCTGTATAATTTAGCTATATCTAGAAATATTTCGTGTTCCATTCAAAGTTAATACAAGGGAAAAGGTGCATTAAGGGCGCAACTCCAGTGGTAGGAAGGGCTGGTTTTGCAGTGGCTGTTTCGATTTGCGAATGCGATCAGTGCTGTGCAACCATGTGACCCAGGTCGTCGGCTCCTCCCCCTACAGCCCTGCACTGGTGTCAGTGTAACCCACTGACATACTTTCACCAGTCAGTGAACGAAGACAGGCGGAACATACGCCCTGTTTCCAAAAAAGACAAGTGCTTTACAACATTCTAATTACGGTACTAATTATAATTTTGTATGAATCCCAATATATTCTTGTACTTTTTATTAAAGTAGGGCGAACTTAAACTTAGAAACATTTAATGATATCTTTGGCAGGCTTTTCTAAACACAGACAAGTTTCCATTCATTCCTACATTTTTCCTATTTAAAAGTTAGTCATTGGCTTCATTCTTCCATTCAGAACTATGTTTTCCTCTTATTGTATGGATGCTGATTCAGCATCCATACCATGTTGTCCTATTATTATTATTGTGTGGATGCTGAGTCCGCCTCCATACTATGTTATCCAATTATTTATTATTGTATGGAGGCTGACTCAGCATCCATACCTTGATTTCTTGGTCTTTATTATTGTATGGATGCTGATTCAGCATCCATACTATGTTATCCAATTATTGTGTGGATGTGTAAGCATCCACACTATGTTATCCTGTTCTTTATTAGTGTGGATGCTCGCATCCACACTCTTGTTATCTTCTTCTTTATTGTGTGGATGCTTATGCATCCACACAATAAATGTTATCCTGTTCTTTATTATTATTATCCTGTTCTTTATCATTATTATTGTGTGGATGCATAAGCATCCACACTATGTTATGCAGTTCTTTATTGTGTGGATGCTGAAAAGCTGGTTTCTACCACTGTTCTTCGGCATCTAATTTCTGCAGCATACTTTCACGTAGAAAGGCCATTGAGGTATCAAACTGTTTATCTCCTTAAGGACATGTGTGTTTGTATACAACTTTTTTTTATTACTTTTATACTTTTTAAGATATTCAGCTTTTTTTACAGAAATTTCCCCATTGGAAATGAATGGGGCAAAATTGGAAGCTTAATATCTCCGGCATACCTTGGGCTAGAAGCGTCATTTCAACTTTATTCAACTCGTGAGACGTTCAACTACCAAAAATCATCTTGATATCTGTTATGGTTTTTTTATAATCGACATTTATATTTTGTCTATTTGTCCATAGACAACGAATGGGCCAATACTATACCATGCCATTGGCTGCCTGTGTGTCACGTGACTCCCCGGTCTAGCAGCTCTCACTTGCTTTTACTCTTCCTCTTGCCGCTTTTCTGCTCCTATTATGCCATTCTTAAGCTTTATACACATATAATAGATGACAATCGTAGAGAAAATTGTCACGAATTCAGCTGTCAGTGTTACTGAGATGGAATGAATGGTATTTGCGTAAGTCGCACATTCCAGGCATACCGTCTCACTGCTCCATAGACTTACGGTCAATACAGAAGATCCGCTGAAAAAAAACGTCGGCGAAAAATGAATGGCGAAATTCTGGAAGTCAGGGGTTCACTATAGCATTTTGATTAGCTGCTAAGTGCTAGAGCTGGGGTTCACCATAGCATTTCGATTAGCTGCTAACTGCTAGAGGTCTTACAAACAATACTATTTACTTAACGAAGGGCTGATAGTAATTATTATGAAGTGTGTGGTTTAGGTTTATGGTTGTTTATAGTTATGCAGGTGGACACTGAAAAGGTTTTGAACGGTGTAAATGACTTTTAGAAGCAAAACACGGCTCAATACACAGACTGTGAAAATACCTTTGAAGTGAAAGTA